TACAGTCACAATCTCAGCACGTACAGTCACATCTCTGCACGTACAGTCACATCTCAGCACGTACAGTCACATCTCAGCACGTACAGTCACATCTCAGCACGTACAGTCACATCTCAGCACGATCAGTCACATCTCAGCACGTACAGTCACATCTCAGCACGTACAGTCACATCTCTGCACGTACAGTCACATCTCAGCACGTACAGTCACATCTCAGCACGTACAGTCACATCTCTGCACGTACAGTCACATCTCAGCACGTACAGTCACATCTCAGCACGTACAGTCACATCTCTGCACGTACAGTCACATCTCAGCACGTACAGTCACATCTCAGCACGTACAGTCACATCTCTGCACGTACAGTCACATCTCAGCACGTACAGTCACATCTCAGCACGTACAGTCACATCTCTGCACGTACAGTCACATCTCAGCACGTGCAGTCACATCTCAGCACGTACAGGGACGTCAGTGAAGCGGTCGAACGAGAACATGGGCAACACGTTGCCCTTCTGGTTCACCGCATTGAACCGCTCTCCACCGCCGTACCACCCCGATGCATTGTCTGCTATCTAAGAGGATAGGATGGGGTGGTGGGAAGGGACACAACGGGAGCGGGGAGCGGTAAGATACAATATGGAGCTAAGCAAGGGAGCACATGGTGCATAGCAAGGGAGCACATGGTGCATAGCAAGGGAGCACATGGTGCATAGCAAGGGAGCACATGGTGCATAGCAAGGGAGCACATGGTGCATAGCAAGGGAGCACATGGTGCATAGCAAGGGAGCACATGGTGCATAGCAAGGGAGCACATGGTGCATAGCAAGGCTTGGCAGCATGTGGGCGGGCGGGCGGGCATAGAAGAGGAGCGATGAGTGCGCATGGCAGATGCTGCCCGGCCACTCACAGCACCGCACGAGCGCCACTAGCAACTCCCCTCACCCTCCACCGTCCCTGTCACCTCTTCTCACTACTCCCCCCCACCCCACACCCCCGCTGCTCACCCGCAGAGTGAAGTCAACGCCATCGGGGAAGAGCAGCGGCGTGCTGACCTCCCACGTCACCACCACCGCCTGCTCGCTCAGCCGACTCGCCCTCACCGCCAGCGCCGGCAGCGCGGGAGCAGCAGAGGCGTTCTGCCCGGTGGGCTGGGCTGCAGTTGCAGGGGATGGGCAGGCATGGGTGGATTGCAGTTGCACATGCGCATGAGTGAGTCAAGTGTGGAGTCACCCCCAAGTGAATCATAGAGTTGAGTCAAGTCGAGTGGAGCCTGATTTCAGCCATGCAGTGAGCGCTCACAGGGTGCAGGCGTGCGATCACGCAGCACCACTGATTCGAGTGCGAGAGAGGGCTTGGGGGGGGGGGGGGGGGGGGGGGGGGGATAGATAGATACGAGCAGATGAGGTAAGTAGTAGGAACAAGCCTCAGGTTCTTTACTCGTTGAACCGAGTAGTATTGAGGTGATTACTGGGCGGAGTACTAGAAGGAGGTGAGAGTGAAACGAGTAATGGGGCACTCCACTTGCACTCGCAAGGAGGCTCTCCTCCTCTCCTGCCACACGTGCTTCCATGGCTGAGCGGGTTAAACGTGAAATGACTGTGGATTGGGGGGATGTGCGGGGGAGGTTGGGAGATTACAAGAATGGCCAGAATGGGAGAGAAGGTTGGGGCCGAGGGCGGGAGAGGAGGGTGGGAGAGGAGGGTGGGAGAAGATGGTGGGGCTGAGGGTGTGGTGTGGGTGGCATTGTTGTTGGGGTGGAGGCGAGTAAAAACTACTCGACTTATGTCGCGAGACAGAACTCGAGCAAGGCTAGTCACAACAAGGCGAATACCACTCGCCCCACTGAATGCTTTTGTCTAGCCTAGAAGGGTTTCTACCTACTGAGAAGATGTGTGGAGACGAGAGCAGATGGGAGGGGTGGAGATGAGACGGCATGCATGCACGGTGAGACGAGAAAATGAATGGCTCTTAAGATGTGGTGGCATGTCACATTAGGCACTAAACCCCAACCCTCCAGTGTCCCACCACAAGCATTGGCTCAACTCGGCTGTTCGTGTCTAGGTGGAATGACAGAGTGAGATTCTTGTGATGGTGAGAGGGCGGTGAGAGGGCGGTGAGAGGGCAGTGAGAGGGCGGTGAGAGGGTGGTTGTGGTGGAGGCATTGGAAAGCGATGCGCGAGACAGGGGCATTGGTGAGAACGCATTGTGGCATGCAGTGCACACACCCACTCTCACATCCCTCACCTCCCTCCACCTCCCCTCCTGCGTGCCACGTGGCGCTGCGCCCAGTGCCGTCCACCACGAGCCCCTCCACGCGCGCCCCCCCCACCTCCACCGCCGGCAGCTGCAGCCGCTGCTGCCGCCGCTCCGGCATGGGGAAGGGTGCGGGGAGGGGCGCGGCGGACGAGGCGGGCGGCGCGAGGAGCAGCAGCACGCCGTCGCCCGAGGGGTGGTAGGCGATGGATAGCCTGGTGGGGGAGGGGGGTTTAGAGGGGGGAAGGGAGGGGGAGGTTGGGGGAAGGGGAGTTAGACAGCTGGAAGTAAGAGAGCAAAAAGCGCAGTGCACCAATTACCACATTCCCAATTCCCCACATTCCCAATTCCCCACATTCCGCGTTCCCCACTTTTCCCAGTTACCCCCTGCTAGGCAGCTATTCAGCTTCCAGTACTTGCCACATCACACTCCTCACCACCCAGCATTCCTGCCCCTCCTTCTCCCCGCCTGCCTCGCGCCTCCCTTCGCCACTCCACATTCCGCGATGACCGCATCGCCGCTCGTGCGCGCTCCCCCTTCCCGTCACCCTACCCCCCTGCCTGCACGCGCATTCCCTCCCAGCCCCGCCCACCCCCGCAACGCCCGCCCGCCTCTGCCGTCACGCGCGCAGCCCCGCCGCCACTCACCACTGCGTGCTTGCGCCGACGGCGGCGGGTTTCGCCCCCCGGCGCGCGAGGAGCGAGAGCAGGTACAGCGCGCCGAGCACGGCGGGGCCCACCAGCGGGAAGTACCGCATGCTGCGCGCGGAACCCGCGGTGCCCACCGCTCTCCGCGCGGCGCTGGTCCGCGCGTGCGGCGGCATTTTGCGCGGAACGGTCACGGAGCTGAACGGCTGTTGGTGGCTCGGTAGCGAGCTGCCTGTGCTTGTATCGAGCGGCTTATAGCGGAATCGGAGGGGCAGAGCATCCCCATTCACCATCTCCTATGCGGGCGACATGAACGGAGCCAGTGCGGAGCCGCGCAGTGGTGTGTGTTGCGAGGAGGGGGCGCGCGGTGAGGCGTACGAACGGACACGTGGATCATTCAAAGGGGACGAGGCGCAGTTTTATCACCAACCTGAACCTCAATCAGAAGTTACAAAAATATTTAGGGATGTGAGAAGTTGGTGATATAACTGTATATCCCCCTCACCCTCCATTACAACCCAACCCAACCCAACCCTTGGGAAATGCGAGCGTGCATGTCTGTCCCCCGATTCCCCTCACGACTCATCCACCCCACGTTCACGTTTCGAATCCCTCCCCGCACAAGTACACTCATAGCGTCAATGGCCCACGAAAGGCCCTTGTTACGCGGGCGATGGGCGTCCAAGAAAGGCCATCTGGCCGCCTAACACAAGGTGACCGTTGAGTCCACGCAGCACCACGCAGCGCGCAGCACGCGCCCTCACATTCGGCCCTCGGGGCTGCTTTGCCCTGCGGCGACCCGTGCCAGCCATGGAGTAGCCGCCGCCGCGCCGCCATGGGCTGGAAGCAGTGCGACGACGCGCGGGCCGCCCAAGAGTGGCTGCGATGGGCACTGGCAGCACGCCGGTAGTCTCCCGCATTGCACTGCTTCTCCCCCCGCCGTCATCCCCCGCGGATCTCCCGCTTCCCGCCGTCTCCCCGCCAGCCTCGTTCTTGCGTTCATCACCCGTGGGTTCCCGTGGGCTCGCGCCGCGTCACAAACCAAACCCAACTCAGCAGCCAAGTCATTGCGAAGCACGCCATTGCACTCAGCACAGCTAGCAGGCGCCGTGACGAGTCAAGAAGCACCTACAGTAGCGCGTTCCCGATGTCTTCCTCATCGCACCACCACTCCGCGCGCGCCTCGCTGCGATCCCGCTGGCACGGCGGCGCGCAAAAGGCGGGGTACGGAATCCGCGCGGCGCACGTCATCCAGGCGTGCGCCTTCGCTATAGTCACACTCTGGCTCTGCTACCACTGGTCGCACGCCCCGCGCCGCCAGCCCAATGGGCCATAGGTTGCCTCACTTCCCCAAGTGAGGCCAACCCAACCCAATGGGCCATAGGTTGCCCCACTCTTCCTCACATGTGTGGGGCGTGTGTGTTGCATGTGTGGGGTGTGTGGGGTGGGGTGTGTGGGGCGTGTGGGGTGTGTCGGGTGTGTATGGGGTGTGTGGAATTCCAGGACCCCCAGACGCTCTTCTCCAACCTGCTTGCCCTCGGGTGCGCTCTGCCGTTTCTGTGTGCTTCTGTGTTGTCATCGCTTGCTCGTCGCATCCCGCACAATCCTCATCATCCCTCCAATCAGCATTCCACTCTTCGTCTCCCTCTCCTCTCTCTCCTCTCCTTTCTCCCCTCTCCCTTCTCCCCTCTCCTCTCTCCCCTCTCCTCTCTCCCCTCTCCTCTCTCCCCTCTCCTCTCTCCCCTCTCCCTTCTCCCCTCTCCTCTCTCCCCTCTCCTCTCTCCCCTCTCCTCTCTCCCCTCTCCTCTCTCCCCTCTCCTCTCTCCTCCTCTCTCCCCTCTCCTCTCTCCTCTCTCCCCTCTCCCCTCTCCCCTCTCCCCTCTCCCCTCTCCCCTCTCCCCTCTCCCCTCTCCCCTCTCCCCTCTCCCCTCTCCCCTCTCCCCTCTCCCCTCTCCCCTCTCCCCTCTCCCCTCTCCCCTCTCCCCTCTCCCCTCTCCCCCAACGCATGGTTGCTTGTTTGAACGAGTGTTTTCTATCCTCCAACTAGCGCGCCTTGTCCAGCACACCCCGACCGTCCTTCCATCTCGTCTGTGCCAATGCCTCTGGCCCCGACCAACCACCCTTTACTCTCTCACTCTGCCACTCACTGCCCATCTGCTCACGCGCACCCTATGTGTCCATGTGCCTTTCCTCGCTACCCTGCCGCCATGCCACACCATCACCATGCCCCCAACATGGTACTTCGTGCAACTGTACCTGGTGAGCGTGCACCACTTTACTTTGCCTTATCTTGCCACCTTCCCCACCCACCCTCACCCACGCAGTACATACAGCTGTACGTGATTTTTACCCAACCCTGCCAGGTGATTCTTACCCTACCCTGCCAGGTGATTCTTTTGCCACCATCCACGTCACGTCACCATCCACGTCGCCTTGTTCTCCCAGCACCCCCTCAGCCGCCTTGTTGCACATGGGCAGTGAACAATGTAGCCCCCTCTCCCCGCCCCATCCTCGACTCTGTTGCCTCACCTGCACTCAGTGTACGCCCACTGCCTCTGCATGCTGCCTGCTGCCATGGCCTTCACCACGCCCCTCACAGTGCCACTATTCTCGGTCGCATCCCCACTCCTCTCAATCCCACCCCCCCGGCAGCTCCTTGGTGTGGATGTGGGTGGGTGACAACAGGGCGTCCTTCTCCTCGTCGGACGGGCTGCCATCCGTGGTGGTGGTGGGGCAGACAGTGGCGCTCTCAGCGCTCTTCCTGTGGGGCAGCCACATGGCGGGGTACCTGGGCAACACCATGCCACATGGCGGGGTACCTGGGCAACACCATGCCACATGGCGGGGTACCTGGGCAACACCATCCCACATTCTCGGGGTGGCGGTACACTGGCGGGCAGGTGGCAGTGGTGGCGGTGCGCCCTCCTCACATGCCCAGCTGCGCCCTCCTCACATGCCCAGCTGCGCCCTCCTCACATGCCCAGCTGCGCCCTCCTCACATGCCCAGCTGCGCCCTCCTCACATGCCCAGGGGCGCCCTACCACGCCCAGGTCAGGTGCATTGGTTACCGTGCTGCATGGCGGGGTGCACATGATTCACGCACATTCGTACCACTCCTCACAGAGTCGCATTTGAGGGGCTCTTTGTATCGGGCAGACTACATGTGCTGCCTTGCACTGCCGCCTGCATGCCTCATGCCACACCACTCTGCCTCTGCACCCTCTTGCCCTTTACCCCCCGCCAGCCGTCGCACCATCCAGCTGTGGCCAGGTGGGACCGGCAGCTCGGAGCTGTGTGTGCTGCTGCACGCGTCCCACCACTACGAGGAGGTGCAGGATTTGCCTCAGATGGATGCTGCGCAGGAGGACGAGGGGGGAGGGGGCAGTGCAGCAGGGGAGGGCAAGGAGGAGGGCGACGTGAGAATGAGACGGACGAGGAGACTGCTGGGAATGAGAGAGGGTGCTGTGCAGGGGGCGGGTGTGGTGCACTTGCGGAGCCAGCAGGAGCAAGGTGGGGTTAGGGGCGAGAGCTGGGGCAGGCGAGTCATGGAGGTGGCATGGGCGGGTACGGCTCGCAGGGAGGTGGCATGGGCGGGTACGGCTCGCAGGGAGGTGGCATGGGCGGGTACGGCTCGCAGGGAGGTGCATGTGATGCTCATGCTCGAGCGTGTACCACACGTCACGCTCACATTGTTGCCGCTCGCTGGTGCCGCTGGTGACGGCACACGGGAGGCCCGGCGCGTGCCTTGTGAGAGTGCTGAGAGCCTGGACAGACCGCTCTCTGTGTGCCGTTTGCACCTAGTACAAAAGGGGATTACACAACTAGTTTATCCTCTGTGAAATACCCTGTATCATCTTCATTCAGATGTTTGTACAGGATGGCTTAGGCACTTTTTTATTGAAATACCACTTTGATGTTTCCAAACCCTGAATTGAATGGAGTGAAGCAACACTTTCCGGCAAAATGTGCAGTGTTTGTGTTACAATCTGAAGTGACGTTTCTAGGATCGTCTCAGGTTGATCACAAGTAGTGTAGCCGCGGAAGATTGCTAGTGGAGGTCGGGTACGGACCCTGCCAGTTGAGGGAGATTTGAATCTCGACAGGAAGTGACTAATACCGTCATACCCCGGATATAAGCGCCACCCTCGGATAAGCGCCTGGCGCTTTTAATTGGCGCATGGCGCTTATATCCGCTGCTCGATTATAAGCGCACCCCCTGAAAAAACTTGTTTTATTATAAGCGCACGTAAACTTTAAATTTTGAAATGTGTTCAAAATGCTGTAACGATTTTTACTTTAGCAGGCGGATGTGTTGCAGATTCGGTTCCCTTCACATTCGGACCCTGCACTGGATGCGGGTCCAGTCAGCAGGAGCTGTCAGGAGCTGTCAGGAGCTGGATGTGAGTCAGATTGGGTGTATCTCCCAGCGCGCGCGAGAATTTCTCAGACGACCCCATGTAACTTCGACTCGATTGGAAAGGCAAGAACGAGATCTACAGTTTGGTGTTAAAAAATAGAAAAAATATATATGTCATTTTATAAACGCCGGCGCTTATAAATTTACTCGATTATAAGCCCACCCCCCTGAAAAAACATATTTTATTATTTCCCCCCATGGGGGTATATCCGGGGTATGACGGTACCGTCATACCCCGGATATAAGCACCACCCGCGGATAAGCGCCTGATGCTTTTAATTGGCGTGTGGCGCTTATATCCGGTGCTCGATTATAAGCGCATACCTAAAAGGCTTACGGATTATAACCGCATACCTGTGCCTTACATTTTATAACCGCCACCCATTTTTTTTTCTTTTTTTTTTTTCATTTGAAGACCTATTACATAATTAGTATACTAAAACATCATGTTAATTACTCTACAACTACTTAATCTACTCCTACCTACGAGCCTCACACAGGCTTCACCATTTTCTACACTAGTTAATCTACCCTACTCTAATCATCAGCTGCAGTGGGGTCATCTGGGTCGGCCTCAGAGTCCGACTCAGGTTCCTCTACGTTGTTGCAGAAGAAACCGTGTGCTGCAATTTCATCATCCATGTCGACCTCCTCGCCCTCGAGCTCGTCTCGCCTGTGTTGCAGGCGGAGCTTGTCCTGGGACCCATCCAGGGCGTAGCTGATGCCGCAGGTGAGGAACGCCCGTTGAATGAGCTCCTTGGGCACGGACTTCCAGGCCGCCGAGATCCACTTGAGCGTCAGCTCGACAGGAGGCTTCTTGATGTTGCCTACCACGCAAATCCAGAAACCGGGTCAGCACGGGTTAAAGAAATAAAAACATACAGAAGAGCTGCACCTCTCACCTTTCTTCGTCAAGGTGTCGACCCCCTCACGCTCAAACCACTCCTGGTAGAGCTGGCGAACGGCGGCCTTGAAGGAGCGGTTAACCGCGACGTCGAGGGGTTGAATCTCCGAGGTGCAGCCAGCAGGGATAACCGCAGGGACCAGGTTCAGCTCGCCAAACTTCTTCACCTCCGGGGTCAAGTGCCCGCGGTACGAATCGAGGACGAGCAGAGCTTTGCGGGGGCGGACTCCGAACTTGGGGTTGATGTACGGCTTCACCGCCTCGTCCAGCCACTCGATGACACCGTCCGCGTCCATCCACCCGTTGGGATGGACCCCCACGTGGATATCTGCACAGCAACAAAACCACGATGTTAGTTAAAATTTTGAACTGACATCGACATGCCACCGCATAATTGACGTGTGGTGCATACCTGAAGGGAAATCTCCTTTGGGGACGGTCTTCCTTTTGAAGAAGACCCAAGGCTTCAACTTCTCCCCGCTGGCGGTGCAGGCGAGCATCACTGTAACCCGCTCTTTCTGGTAGCCGCCGCTGCGGACGGGCACGGAGCGCGAGCCAACCTCTTCAACGGTGCGTTTGGATGGCATCTCGAGCCAGAGGGGCGTCTGGTCCGCGTTTAGAATCCACGGCAGGTCGATCTTGTACTGCCGGCGGGAGTGACGCACGTACGTCCAGAAGTTCTTGACTTCAGTCTCGCACTCTGGGACACGGGATGGGAGGAACAGAAAGCACAAACACAGAGTGAGAGCCGTGAATAGACGGGAACAGACAAACAACAATACCACCAAATAACAACTCACTGGACAAGAGCTTCTGGCCGACCCGGGTCTTCGCTCTGGTCGTCAGGTTCCAGCGGCGGCGAAAGCGCTGAGTCCACCGCTGAGAGCCGGCCCACTTTTCACCTGGGTGTAACTCTTTCATCACCTCGTGCGACCACTTCTGCAGTCGTGCGATCGAGACGGCAAGGCACTTCTTGCGGTGGGCGAGAAACCTCCGGTACACCTCCGCTTCCATGTCGCGATACCACGAGCTCCTTCCGCGGCCGTGCAGGCGACAGCTTGCACCGTGCGCGCCCTCAAGCTCACCCTTGCGGTTCTTCCACTCCGTGAGGCACCTTCGGGAGATGCCGGATTCGCGAGACATGCGCCGCACACTCATCTCTCCGGCTTCGAGCTTCAGAATCCATTGCAGCTTCTCATGCGACGTGTAGGAATTGCGCCTGTGCTTTGTCGGCTTGTGCCTGGGGGAGGGAGGACGGGCATCACGATTATCGCGAGATGGGTGGGGCCTTTTTTTATTTGGAGGGGGAAAGGAGGGACTTGGAAGGTGCTCGGGGAGACCGTCAGCAGCCCAGAACTCCACGTCGTCGTCCGCACCGGTAGCGGATTCGTCCAACGGGCAATCAGCCGGCGCTCCCCATCGTGGCTCCGGTGCGGAGGAAGATCCTTCGCCGCCGCTGCGTTCAGGCTCGGACAGGAAGGCGTCGAACGCCGAGTAGCCAGGGGGGAGGAGAAGCTGCAGAACCCCCTGTCGCGGAACAACAACAGCAGGCGGGACGGGAGGGTCCGGAGGAACGGGAGGAATAGGAGGCGCCGGGGGAGCGGGAGGGGTAGGAGGCGTAGGAGGCGTGGGAGGAACGGGAGGCACTACTGGTTGTGGTGGAGGGACGAGCGCAGGGCGCGTCTGCCATCGAGAGTAGTCACGAGTGTCTCTGCGGGTATTTTCTCTAGCAGCAGGTTGGCGGCGGAACAAGAAATGCGTGCCTGTAAGGCCCGCCATGGCCACGGCAGGCCAAACGAACGAAGAAAACTGAACCAAAAGTTGGGAATGAGGGCCGTATGAAGCCCTCGTCCGAGACCCCTTCAGTTTCGCGGCCCGGCCTCCTCTGCGGGGAAAGTGTGGCCACAGTCAAGATTCCCCGCAGAGGAGCTGAAAGGGACAGCTCTTTGCCTCGGTGGCAGGGAATCTTGCTGTTGATGGGCACGTCGTGGCTGAACCACGACGTGCCCACGATCGCATGCAACCCTGATTGGGCCGCTGTGATGCGAAGTACGTGTGCCCTGGCATGGGCCAGGTTCACGTTCGATGAACCTGGCCTGGCCAACAAGGCGTGGAAGGCGTGATGCCACGCCTTGTTGGCCGTTTTCACGCGCAAAGCATGCACAGAGTCGAACGTTCTCGACTCAGGTGAATCCGCCTTTGAGAATGCTTCGATTTGGTATATTTAAAAACAAATTTCATTTTTGACATAACATAAATGCCGGCGCTTATAATTTTACTATATTATAAGCCCACCCCCTAAAAAAAACATGTTTTATTAGTGCCCCCCATGGGGGTATATCCGGGGTATGACGGTACAATGTGGTACAAGGGTTTATATAGGAATACAGTGGAATGCGAAAGGTCCTAGCTAGCCATGTACTCTGAGGGGGTACATTCCCCTTACAGCTGATCTAGATCGGGAAAGCCAACCGTGCGATTCAGTAACAATATGCGTCACGTTAACTGTTTGAATGTTTTCCCGCGCCTGCACTTCGAATTCTTCCTTCTTTCTTCTTTAACTGTTTGTGTCGCTTGGTCTTCGTCTTCGCTGCAGTCATTTTCACGATTTGCGTTCGTTACTGTAGGAATGTTATTCAACAATTCCATATCGTAACACTCCCCTTCATTCCTGGAGAAGCAAAGTCTTAACACGCTTGGTTATACCGCAAATGTTCGCGATGTGCTGGTACTGCTGACATGGCAACTTCTTGGTCAGGAAGTCGGCTGCCATGTCACCGGTGGGGTAGTAAGTCAAGATGGCTTTGCCTTTGTCGACTTCGTCTTTGACGAAGAAGTACCGAAGGGCGATATGCTTGGTGCGGTTGACAAAACCGGGTTTGTTCGCGATCTTGATCGCACTTTGGTTGTCGCAGTGAAGTTTGAAGTTCGCAGATGTCGCTATTTTCGCCTCCTCGAGCAAAACCTGGAGGTAAAGTCCTTCGCACACAGCTGACGTGGCAGCGATGAACTCGGCTCCAGCGGAGGAGAGCGCCACCATTTCCTGTTCCTGTGAATTCTAGGAAATTGGTCCGGTAGGTTTGAGGCGGTAAAGGAAGCCGGTAGGTTCGATTAGAGTTGAATACGCGAGGCCAATGTGCAGTGTAGAGATGAAGTACTGCAGAGCGCGCTGCAGGTCCAACATATTCTCCCCTTCAGGCCGCTTGGCGTACTGAGCGGGCTGGCTCGAGCTGTAGGATAGGTCAGGCCTGCATGTGATCGCAACAAAGAGGAGGCAGCCAAGTTGCTACTGGTATAGTTGGTGTCCGGATGGGTTGAGCGGGGTGGTGTTGGGAGTGTGGGGGTTTGCGGGGGTGCGATAAGGATTGGAAATGTTTGCCGGCTTGATGTTGAACTTTGCAGACAGTGTTTCGGCATACTTGGCGGCCGAGAGATGGATGGCGTCAGTGACGAAGGAGATGTTGAGGCCCAAGAATTGCGTGACGTGGTCGGTACTGGTGATTTCGACACGGTTGCTG